TAAGTTACCCTTGGTAAGTTACCCTTGGTAAGTTACGATTTATTTAACATTGGTAAATTACCATTTGAATTGCGATTTATTTTACCACTATATTATCACAGCGGACGGCAGTTCGCGCGAGTGACGAAACCACATTAGTGTGTTGAAATGTCGACTTGCTATATATACACGTAATTTCCAAATTCTAACCTGGATGGCCTTTAGCTGCAAAATATGGTCAAGAAAAGGGTCAAAATTCAATTCTACGTCAAAATCGATCATTCTTTTCGAAAAATTCAGCATTTTAAAAATTTCATATGAATCTCTATAAAAAATCAAATTGTCTGTCTGTATGTCTGTGTGCAATTTTTCGTACTCGAATCTGATCTTTTTGAAACTTTCTGTGATTAATTTCATTTTCTCGAAAACAAAATCAACGATTTTTTTTGAAAATTTCACCGATTTTAGGCCCAAGTGTAAGATATAAAATGCCGCATAGCTCATATCCCAGAAAAATCTTGTTTTCGAGATATGGCTTTGATAGCGAAAATTTATTCTCGATCACACGGGCACATCTACAGTGAATCTAATATTTTTGGTAGACAAAATTTTGCATGACACACTCCACTCACACACTCGGCATACTTTTGCTCAAATTTTCAGCATATTCGCGTTGAAAACCTTTCCACTAGCGTTGAATGAATGAACTGAGCTGCTTCAAATTGAGGTGTGTTTTACAACGAAGCCTTGCCTTAATAATAACCCAAAATTTTTCGATCGGATTGCAATGGGTGACTGTGGATCATTTTTCTCTTTCCAAGCATTACACAGACGACTTTTGTGTTTTGGATCGTTGCGTCGGTATGAACTCCAATACATTTTTTGTTATTAGTGCTGCTTCTTCTTTTTCTCACTATGGGCGCAACCATTTTCAAGCTAAAAGTCAAATGGATGCGTTTAATGAAACGTCAAAATGCGCGTATGGCTAATTTGTTCTAAACGTGTATCTGTAGTTGAGTTTGAAGTTAATGTGTGAATAATCAAATAAATAGTACTTTTTGTATTAAAAATAAAAATAAAAGAATAAAATTAGCTGTGTAAAATTTTATCGGCGCCTATACAAGTCGATTCAAAAAAACTGTAAATGGAATACTGCACAATAAGCCAAGAAAACGAATAATTTTATCGGCACAGAATATTTTTGCAGCCGACAGAAATATCTTTTGCCACAATATTGCTATTAGTTGCAAACAAATTATTAAACATATTTTTCGACTTTACTTTATTTTATTTTTTCTTACCTAGAATAACTGTGATCCAGAAATATATGATTTCAACATTGCGTGTGGTACTATTTAATACTTTGCATTTTTGATATTCCATTAAACGCACTTATTTAAAAATGAATATGCCAATATGGCTGCACCCATAGTGTAAATAAGAAGAAGCAGTGTCTATTTAGCAACTGCATACCGGTGGATCGTTGTCTTCTAATAGAAGCTAATTCGAATTGTCGTTGCTATAGAACTTCTTGGCGGTGGGTAACAGTGTCGATGAATAAAGTTGGTTCATCCTCACGGCGTTTGGAATGCCCGTGAATACGGCCAACTTTCCAAAACCAGCTTCACAGAAGCAACCATAAACATGCACATTTTTCGGATGATTTACCGTGCGAACACCCCCTCCCTTTTCGGCTCTAGACTAGGCATGGGTAGTAGGGTGGATGACTTTTTCGAAAAAATGTAAGTATCATAGCCCACAGCCCAGAGTGGTTGTATAAGCATGAGCTGATTCCAAAAAAGCCATTTTTTGATGGGTTTATATGTCATATTGGGTGGCGACTTGAACGAGAGTGAAGAGAACTTTTTCAAAAAAATCGAAAAAAATGTGATTTTTAGTAATAAGAATTTTGGTTTATTTTTTACATTTCTACTCTCTTATTTCATCAATTAAGACCATTTTAATCTTTATAAACTTCAAATGGCCAAATTATACAGATTTACTAATCCAGGTTAAATCTTTTAAAAATCGTTAAAAACCAGCAAAAGTAATAACTTTCACTAGTCAACCAATTTGAAATTTTAGCAATGACCATACTCGTTTGAAGCTAATACGACTTCAGTAACGCGTATTAGAACAATTCACGATTCGTGTACACTCGGCACATCATCGCTGCTTTACGGAATATCAGCCGCTGAGTTCACTGCGAACTGTCGTGCATCTAATGCATTAAAGAAAGTTCGCACAAAAGAGAATGAAAAATGTACATATGGCTACTTGATGTTTTTTGACCATGTCGCAGTGAATTCTACTGATATTCGCCTAAGCAGCGAAGATTTTCCGAGTGTACATGAATAGTGAATCCTTCTAATACGGGTTACTAAAATCATGCTCAGTTAGATCCCGGCACATCGGAGTTTTTTTAAATGAAATTAAATTGAAAGAAAATGGTCAATATTGACCAAAGACAGTATGAGATAAATCAACACTGAAGTTACATTACGGATAATATTTTCAATTCCTAAACTGCTTTGTAATGCTGAAGTCCATAGCGATCCAATGCCATAATAAGCACCTGAAACGATCTCGTGATATAAAAATTATGGTGGTGTATATTCAAAACTTCGACTAAAAAAAGACCACTTTCTTCATTTTTCTTCATATCCGATATTTTTTGGAATGGTGATTTTATTACCAAATTTACCCTTCTATCGTTAAAAGGAATCATTGTAGATAAATCTAACGTCATACAGTTCAATTCCGTAATTACAACAAAGCCCTATGTTTGTTTCAGTACAAGGATAAAAAATCCAAAAGGCCACATTGAAACACTATCGGAAAACACTCTTTTAGAATTCAAATCATCACAAAACGTTGCAAATCTTCAGGAATTTCTCCAAATATATGATCTAGGTAGATTTTGAGTCATTCCAATGAAAATAGAGGATGTCTCTCGAACAAACTTTTCATTTTTGACTCAATGTTGACAATTTTATTTCAACCGGTAAATAACGGGTCTTAAAATAAAAAAAACTTAGACTTGTAGACCTCAGCTCAGTAATCAGCATGGCTCAGTGATCGGTAGACACGGTCCTATCATGCTATAATAGCCACTGCTATGGTCGTTACTAAAAATTCGAATTTGTTGACTATTGAAATTCATTAATTTTTCTGGTTTTTAACGATTTTTGAAGATTTTACCTGGATTAGTAAATTTGTATAATTTGGCCCTTTGAAGGATTATAAAGAAAAAATTGGTCTTAATTGATGATATAAGATCAATTTGAGCGTAGAAATGGGAAAAATAAACCAAAATTGTTATTACTAAAAATCACATTATTTTCGATTTTTTTGAAAAAGTTGTCTTCACTCTCGTTCAAGTCGCCACCCTATATGACACATAACCACATCAAAAAATGGCTGTTTTGGAATCAGCTCATGCTTATAAAACTACTCTGGGCTGTGGAGCCAAATCGAGAAAAATTCATCCACCCTAATGGGTAGTGCTATTCACAAGCCAAGAGAATGACTCGTCAGTATACATAACTTCGCTCTAATCTCTTGTTGCATTTTGCTTTGCCCAGTCAATGCGTTTTTCTTTGCCCAGTCAATGCGTTTTTCTTCTGGTTTTCTGTCGAAAGTGTTTTCTTCAATTTACTGCGATAACAAACACTGGCCACATCAGTGGAGCGCGAGATGTCTATTTTAAGATTGTATAGCCTTTCAAAGCCTTGGCTCAACGACATAACTAAATTTTCATCGAACAACTTGACTATACGTTTATCTTGCTGTGGCGAGGAAGCTCGTTTGGCTTAACATTGGGTCAATCATTCACATTTTTTTCGTGCTTATACTTCTGAATCCACTTTGTTACGAAACATCTTGACTTTTTGGTCTAAACTGGTGCAAAAGTAAAAAATTGCTTCAAAACGTTTTAAAAAATGTTCGGAATTCATGTTTTGATTGCACAACAAACACTGTACTAATTTGAGAACTGTCAAATTTGTTGTGCATCGTAGCTTAGAGTGCCATCTAGCAACACCAAAAATATTTTTAAGATATTTGAAGTTTTTGTCTAAAAAATCGATGGCTCTATATAAAAAACGTACTGAAGGTTTGTGAAAAAAAGTTTTACCGGAGTATTGGGGGCAGGAGAGCAACCCAGGGCGGATAACCTTGCAAAACTTCGTCGGGTCAAAAGATGTTGTAATACAAAATTGTTCAGAATGTTGTGAGAATTTTTTTAGGTTATCAGAGGACAAAACCCCTTAATCCATGATTTGTTTTACCTTAAAACCAAAAATTCGGATTTCTCATGCCAAAATACTTTATAATTTATGTTTGTCTTGTGCCCATTGTTCCCAAGTCTCCCAACATTTCCGTGCCCCCACATTAGAGTAAAATGATACGAGGTCGATTTTCCACTTTTGGGTCCGGAATTTCCCATTCAAATATGTCAATTATAGCTAATTTTATTTGTACATTTAACATTTAAGCCCATTCCATCACCTCTAAGGTTTGTGACAATACAAAAATTAAAATTTCGGAAAATACCCCAAAAATTGGTCCCCTCAAACGCTGAAAATAATTACATTTTCAGATGGATCGTGAAAAATTACTTATAGGCTCCATACATTTCAATCTTTTCGACACTTTATATCGATCTGTATAGGTGACATCTAAAACTTTTATTCACACTTTGCATACCTTAGTGATGAGACTTCATAATTTTGACTTTGTTCAAGTGTTTATAAGTGTTTTTTTTTTGTTTAAGTGTTTTGATGCTTCATTTTTTTCGTTCGATTTTTTTAATAAATGAATAACAATGCTTCTTGCACTCACTCTTTTTACAGAACTCGGTCAGAACGACTCCATCGTGATTTATTTGAATTTTTAGGAACAGCGTCAAAGGCCTTTTATAAGGTAACGAAAGAAATTTGTTTCATTATTAACGTAAAATAACATTTTTAACGATAGGAAAAAAAATGTTCAAAAAAAGTTTCCAATACGACTTTAAGGTCGAGAGAGGGCGAATCAAGCCCATCACTCAGGTCTCTAATTTTGAATGTAATGATACGATAAGATATTGTGTTTTTTGAATCAATGCCAAAATCTGGATGAAATCGTCGTCTTTAAAAATGTAATTTTACGTGAGGACACATGAATCGTTGCGGCGAAAGAGTAGCTCTTATTTTACTCCAAATAATACTGCAACATAAAGTTTTTTATGAATAGTTTATTTGTTGTATTACAACAAATATACCGTGTGAAAAAAACTTCATGTTGCAGTATTATTTGGAGAAAAATAAGAGCTACTGTTTCGCCGCAACGATTCACATGTTTCATTAGGTAGACAAGTTAATATTGGTTGGATATTTTTTTATAAGCATTTTGCCGGCGCTCTTCAGTCTCTTGGTAATCCTACTGCACTAGGCCCATCGGTGTTCGTTTTTCACGAAACTCAAAATACTCAAACGGTTAAATCAAGTCAGTACACGTTTTTTTACTCTTCTTGTAATTATCACTTCACAATTTTGAAATTCTACATTCATTTATCTCATTATTCAGCTGTTGACAAAAGTCCCGAGGACATTTTACGTGAACGATTCGCTGAGATGAATATTGATTTGGAGGTTTATTTTTTTTATTTAACTTATAATACGACAGTTCCACACGAAATCACCCAAAAAAAATTCGAAGTTTGAATCAGGGCTGAGATCACTCATAAACCAAACCTGGCAAAGTAATTGCGAATTTCGCTTCAAAGAAGTGCCTTTGAGTCAGATCCGAATTTTCATCAAATTTTTCTCCAAAACTTTGACAGGTTTAGCTTATAAGTGATCTCAACACAGGGACGGAGTTTGGGTCGACTCTTCAAATTTCGAAAAATGTTGGGTGATGTCGTGTGTAATTGTTGAATAACAATTTCTTTTTCACCTAATTTTAAAAATTTATACTTAATTACATTTTTATTTGTAATATTAGGCATTTTCATCACTGCGTTACGTAGGAATACAAACAAAAGAACCGCCGACCGATTATACGACTATCAAAAATGCATTGCTATTAGAAATTGGTAAATGAAAAAAATCAAACAAGATACCAAATCTGACAACTAGAAACAGAGCGAATGTTTGATTGGGAGATATCCTAAATACAAATTTAACTCTTTTTTTTATACAAAACAGGCAATACAAGTGTTAGATCCCCCAGAACGCCAGATATTATATTCAAAGCGATTGATGTAATTCTACTTCCTACTGACAGACATCTTTTTTTATTTGTATTAATTTAAACAAAAACAATCTGTATTTTTATTTTTATTTTAGGGTTTGAATTTGAAATTTTCGGGAAGAATTGTGGAAAAATCATTCAATCCTTTTCCGGAGAAATATTTCACTTGCAGTGTTTATTGTGAATCATGTGAAGCTAGATGTGAATTATCAATGGGACATGTTCTCGAGGGTAAATCCCATTATATGCATTTGAAATAAATATGTTGATTAATTTACATTATTTTCATTCTCATCCCTAGGTAAATCTCATTCAAACTCAAAATGTTGTCGATATCAAAAACAGTATGAAAATAGTGTTTATTTGTGCAAGTATTGCCATTTGAATGGACGACAGGTATGGTTTAGTCGCTTAAAAATATACAAAGTAAAAACAAACGCTTACAAATTGCATTTGTTTTTTTTACATTTTGCAGACAATTGTAAAAATTACAACACAAACAACAAACGATACATCTTGGTTTGGTTTGGCAAAATATGCATGGAGTGGTTCAGTTATCGAGTGTCCAAATTGTGGTGAATTGTACCGATCGAGACAATACTGGTACGGAAATAAAAATCCCGAAGACAGCGCTGTTCGGTAAGTGTCAAAAATCAAATATATTTGAATAGTTCGGCTAACAAGTGTTCAATTTGACATGCAACGACATGTTTGTGTGAATATTTTGACAACATAACACACAGTGTATATGCTTATTGCGTTAATAATCATAGTGTGCGTATCCAATGCTTAAAGATCAGATTTTGAATTTCGGTTTGAACAGTCAGTCAAAATAGGGCGGTAATATCATTTTAAGAGCACAAATTCAGATTCAGAAAGGAATAATGGAGAATTTTCAATTGAACGACTTCAATTTGAATTTCGATTTTGATTTTCGACATGATGATTTCACTGATGAAGAGAATCGTGTAATCGATGATATAATGGCGAATCCAATAGAATTGAATAACCTGTTTGAAACAGATGCACCATTAAATGAATGCCGTACCAATTCTTCATCGATTTTTGATTATTTATGCGAAGATGACACTGCAATCAACGACGTTCATTCATTGGATCATTCCTCGAAAAATCAATTGGTGACATTCAATGGAGATATGGATCGAAGTACAGGAAATGATTTTGTCAATTTCATAGCTGAACCAGATAGTTTAGTTTCTCATCAGAATGTGAACTTTGATTGGACAACGTTTTTGGATGATTCAACACAATCAATTCAAATTCAAAAGAATTCCATCGATCAATCGTTTTCTATAGCAGATTCTGTGCAAAATGGGTTGATTCGGACCAACAATGTGATTCGTGACAATGGTTTCGTCTATGAAGAACTCAAAACATTAGATGTACCGCAAATGTATGGCAATTTGGATCAGAAATTTTTGTTAAATTTGAAAAAAATTAACGAAAGCATGGACTACTCTGCTCTACGAAATGAACATCAAATGGGCCAAAATGATTGGAACATTGTGAACAATAATATACCTTCAATGAAACAAAAACTTTTTTTGATGCCACTGCACTTGAACCAGATTGGAACTGAGTCATTAAAACACGTCACATCGAATATAAAAAAGCATCCATTTATTTTGAATTCAATATTAAATAAATGCGGGGATAAAGAAGACATTATAAAAATTGTAATACGGAACCGTCCAAAAAAAATTAAACAAAAGTCGGAACAGTATCTCACTTTAAGTGAGCAATTGGATCAAATGAAGGCAAGAAAAATTGAATTGCCGAAAATCAACCGAAAACAACAAGGACAAAAGCGAAAAGAAAGCCCAAAAGTTGATAAGGAAAAAGTGCCATTGGAATACAATTTTCAAGTTATTTTGACAAATAATATTGAAAACACATCCAGCATCAAAAACAAGGGACTTATTCAATCAAACGGAAAAAAGATCAAACCGACGACTGACAATTTGAAATCATCAAAACGCCGACTCACAGAATCAAAGCCAAGTCGACGTTTATACCAAATGAATTAAGAATCATTAGCACAGAATTGATGATTTCATTTCAAACACTAACACTAGACTGATTACTATACTGTTTTTTTTGTTGAATAAATGTTCACTACTTGAATATTGATTGTTTTTTTTTTCTTTTCAAATATATATTCAGTAAAAATATGAACGCATTTTTTAAGTTTTGTAATGTGTATATATTTCTCATTTTTCTCATACTTTCTTTCTTGTGTAGCAGCGAAATAGTACACGTTTGGAAAGACACAAAATTTACTGGAGAGGGACCAACACATTCAGCACAAATGGTAATAGATGGGGGCAAATCTCTTAAAAATAGCTTATTAATTATTATTGATTGTTCTATGATTAATTTTCGATTATATGTCGATTACTTTAAATTCGATTATTTTCTCTTGTGATTCTCCCCTTAGGTAATAGATGGAGTAAGCTATTTGAGTGAGACTGTTTGTAACATTGGCGCCCAACCATCAAAGGTTCTATCTGATTGGGTAACAGACTGGGTAAGTACTAGGGGCAATTCACTTAAAAATTACCTTTCTATTATTTAATAATTGTTATTGATTCTTTTTCGATTATTGCGATTATTTTCGATTATTTCGATTATTTGTCGATTACTTATCGATTATTTCCAATTAATTCTTTTCTTTTGTGATTCTCCCCTTAGGTAGCCCCATCATACTGGAAACCGAATGTGGAAATTATTGTAAGTTTTATTCAGTCAAGTTCAGAAAGATAACATTGAAGTTTTTGCGTTGTCTGCAGAATTGTCATGGCTGTAAAACAAATTTTGATCAAACTGGATTGAGACGACATCATTGTCGTGCATGTGGTGAAGGATTCTGTAATCCGTGCTCTGCTAGCATGGTACCGGTACCAGCTAGAGGTTGGAATAGTCCCGTTCGTGTATGTAACTCATGCAAAGAGATTTTATCAAGAAAACGTGATGCACGTCCTGGTATGTTTCTATAAAAATTTATTGTCATTTAATTCAACGTGACCCATAGTTTCAAATCATTATTTATTTTGTGCTGTCTTATCATAACTTGCAAATAAATCCAAAAAAGATGTTATTCAACCAACTGTAAATTCATCTCAACCTCCATCTGCAGGAGCTATTAATAGAATAAATAGCATCACCGATGATCAAGATATTCGTGTTCGTAAATATGGAGAGGTTGTATACAATACACTGTCATCAGTTGCATCGGTTTTGGAATACCCGAAAGATCTAATTAAAGATTCGGCACGACCATCATATTGGGTGTCGGATAAAGACCGTGAAGCAAACTTTTGCTGTGTTTGCATGAAACCATTTGGTACCGCTGAAGACTTGGTGTCACTTGCCAAGAAGCAATCTTCATATTCTGTAAAATCTGAATTGATCAATGATCCCAACGAAATGAATGGATCAATGTATTGCGATAGAAAGCGTCATCACTGCCGTTCTTGCGGTCTCGCTGTATGTGATTTTTGTTCACAAAATCGAAGAACCGTCCCAGAACGCGGTTGGACTACGGAAGTTCGCATTTGTGATACATGCAACAAACGATCATCTTAAATACCAATTTTTTATTAAATTTTACATTCAATGGATAGTCTACGATATATATTTTTAAGAGGTATGAATTATTTGCGACCAATAATTGCAATTTTTCATTAACAAAACAATATTTTAACCAAAATCCAATAGCAATCGTTCTAAAATATTCTAGTTTATAAAATGGAGTGAGTGCTTGTCCTTTTTTATTCATATTTTTATAAAGTTTTCGTAATATAAAAATGGTTACTGAAATAGAATTGGTTGGGATTACTGCCCTAATAAATGTTGTGATATTGTTATTGGCCTTTAATGGCTTCACAGACAGATTGTTAAGTAGACGCACGGGAATCAGATAGGCAGAATTATGTATAATAAATTACTTTTCTGAATCAAATGAGTTAAAAACGACTCTCAATTTGTCATTTTAATCGATATTAAATCGCAAAATAAATTTAATAAAATAGAATAAAATCAAACAAAACATGAATGTTAATTCTTAATGATTTTTACTAACTTTATATACTCGAATCAGTTACAAAACTACTGATTAGAATACATACGACAATTTAAAAGGTAATATTTTGGGCAAATCAAATTATTTATGAAAAATCTAAAATATTAATATATTATTTATGAAAAAATCAGATCTGTTTAATAAAATTCGCATTAATTATTAATTAATTTCAGTGTTTATTGCCAATTGATTTTTCCTCTTGAATAATATGAAAAAGTAGAATAAAAACCAATGACCGCGAGATTTCAAATTTACTTTGAATATTTACGGGCTCCGAAAATCAAAAACGTTTTCAAAATCCTAAGCGAATTGGAATAACCACGAAATATTTATTTATTAGAAAAAACGTTGAACATATTTAAATAAATATAATTATTATAATAAAGAGTTTGTAAGTATATTCAAATTTTGCATGAAATTTGTTTGACATATTTTAAATAAATTTGGAGCAAAAAGTTAACTAACTAACCTTTTTGGTAACAAATTTCATCCAAAATTTGAATATACTTACAAACCTCGACAAAAATAGGAAATTATATTTAGGAGAAAAAAATGTCCTACGATTAATTAAGTCATCATGTTCAACTTCACCGTCAGATGTCGATACATAAATGATTTTGGCGCGTTCGTGTAATGACATAACCTCCAAAAACAAACATTTAAACTGATTTTTCGTTAGCGTCATTTGCGTTATAGACTTTGTGATATATATACACTGTTTTCATGAAAACATTTTAAAATCTTACCAACTCAAGTGAATTTGTTTTATGAAATAACCGGGATAGTTATTTAATAAACGATATTCATTGAAGACTGAAACATTAAACTTCGTAAATTTACGAAGATTGTTCAAAAAAGAAAACAAAATCGAATGATGTGTGCCAAAGTGAGCAAAAAATCTGCACGAGCAGTGGAAGCGTCCCCACCAGATAATAGAACACCCCGGAGAAATGTGCGTCAAACACCATCGAGAAATCGTGGTAAGGTACTGCCACAACTTTCAAACAGAAAGTCCGATCATTCGAATGCCAATGGTCGCTCTGAAAGTGACGAAGAATCAGCTGAAGAAGATTTCCTTGGACGACCACCATCACATGAACCAAGTGAATCAAACCAGCAATCACAAGATAGTGACGAAATTGACGATAGTTCCCAACAAACATCACCACGACAAACAACTAGAAATACAGTTCACCGACCGACTAGTGATCGAAAATCAGTACGAAAACAAGCAAAACCGAAGCGCAAGAAACGTGTGATCAAAGAAATTGTGGCATTACAGAAGTCGACAAAGCTGCTAATTGCTCGATTACCATTCCAACGGTAATTATTAATATAACAAAAATTATACAAATCTTTCGTATTTATAATTTTACTTACAGATTGGTGCGTGAAATTTTGCAAGAATTTAAGAATGATTTCCGCTTGCAATCGAGTACTTTGGAATGCTTACAGGAAGCTGCAGAGACCTATTTGATACAACTATTTGAGGACAGCTATCTATGTTGCTTGCATCGGTCCCGCCAAACATTGACTGACAAAGACATCAAACTTGTTCAAATTCTTCGTGGCGCTCTCGATCCGGGAAGAAGATGATGATTTATTGTTGACAGTAATTCTGTATATAAAACTCACTTCATCAATTTCACTCTCACAATTACATTTAGTGTTTGTAGTGTTTTTTCGGAAGTTATGCGAATGTTCCTTGCCTGAATTTGCATTCAGTTATAACTCTTGAATAAAAGACAAGGATTTTATGTTTACAATAATTTGATTTGAAAAAAAGTTTCATGTTTGAATTTGAAATAATAAAAAATGACAATTTTTTGGGCTTGAAAAATAATAAATTTAACATAGCCTCAGAGCGGGAAATTGAAACATTGACTCTGAATTATTTATTCGACGAAATTCGGATTAAAAAATTAGAAAATATTAGAAAAACTATTTTTAATTTAATATGAATTCAAATGTTAAACAGATTCATAAATTTTATGAAATTTCCGTCTCGAAGAAAAGAACTGAAATCCCAACTTGTCTAATATAAATTTTGAATAAATTTTGAACTGAATTTGTTTAATTTAATATTTTAATTTATTATCATTTTATTCACGAAAAAAACAGATGAATGGATGAATTTAATATGTACTTAATTTCTCAGGCAATTTTTGTTTGTTTTTCTTTAAAAGATCGGCAAGTGTTCTCTTGAAATTTTTTGAAATAACAGAACTATCGTCTTGTTCTAATTCGTAAAAAAGGTTTACAGCCATTTTACAGTCATTGGTGCGAACAAAGTTATTTAAAAGTAATAGGTATAGTTTTTCTTCATTCAGGGATGTATGATTGAGCCCACGAGCACATCTTGCAATACGTGTAACAGCACTAATTTGCATTTGACCTTTTAAATAACTCAAAGTTTTCATTATAAATTCTGAATTGAATTTAACATTCGGATCCATTAACATCTTCCGCACCTGTTCATCATTTCCTACAGTGGCAAATGCTACAATAACATTACAATTTGAATTCTGTGTCCCATGAACTTGCTGCCCCAAATCAATTAATCGTTGCATGTATTCAATTGCGTTTTGTTTCGTAATGTTATATTCCATTTTGTTTTCATCATTTAATATTTCAATTAAGAGCATTAACAAATTTTGGAAGTGAGGTGTGCTCTTATATTCATTTGCAAAATGTTGGAATGCTGCAAACGCTTCATGAATTTGTTTTTTATGTACGTATTCTTTAATCACGCAACCTAGAAGAATATTTGAGTAATCACAATATCCATTTTTGACCAACACATTTAGAAATTGTCCAGCAAGATTTTCCTCTTTGTTATGCCTAATGCTATATTCACTGGCTGCTTCCAATAGAGCCCAAATATTCTTGATTAAATGTGAATTATCTGTTCTACACACATCTAAACATTTGATCAGTTCGTTTCCATCTTCTAGTCTGTTCTTTGAGAGCAACAGTGTTGCCAAGTCAATTATTTTGTAATAGTCGACTTTGAAATGTGGATGTTTGCTAGTTAGAATCTTCAAAACACGAAGAGCTTCATCATCTAAATTGGTTGCAGTCCATAGTTTTAATAGCGATGATAGCATGGCCGGTGTTTCAGAAACAACTCCCACTTTGTCACATTCCTTTTTTATTTCAATTGCCTGGTCATATTGTTCGTATTGAACGTGTTTTAAGAAAAGACGATATAAAATACCTATAAGAAAGAAGAAATATATTATTTTTATTTTTTTCATATAAATAGAGGAAATAAAGGCATATATTATTATTCGCCACGAATTGTGTTGCACAATATTCTAAAAATTTTGACTTCTAACAACATTTTCTCTATTTACAAATATTTTTTAGATGTCAAAATAATCAAATCAACACTGAAAATGTCAAATAATAATTTGCTCTGAAACATGCATTAGCGGCAATTAAGAAATGCCTCATACCATGCGTTGGTAAACCATTTTCTTTAAATTCATTAAGTTGCTTTTGTAATGTCTCAACCTCCGATCCGATTTTGATTGTATCCGAGGTGGTTTGTGTATTGGGAAACATATCATAGCAAATCAAATTCTGTACAACTGAACCAAATTTCTCATGAACTTGTCGATGCTTAGACAATCTACTCAATATCTTATTGGCTGCGTGTGCCGAAATTTTCACTTTATGGAAAGCAAAATCTGTTAATATCTTTTGAGTTAAAGGAAATCCAGCGGTTTGGTCTTTTTTAGTACAAATCGATAAAATAGCTTCTCCAGCTAAATCATATTCTTTATCACGGCATCGAAGTTTTTTTATCAATGTGACAGCAGGACCAACATTTCGTTTGTAGTTTGGACTTCGGAAATAGTTGCTTATTGCTGGTTGAACAAATGGAAATGGATCAATATATGCACTTGAACGACTTGCTATGTTCAATGCTTCTCTTGGTCGGTGTTTACTTAACAAATAAGTTATAGCAGCCGTTTTTAACTCATGCATTCGAACGCCAGCCTCGGCCAATGTGTTAATCGTTTCTTCAGAATTTATCAATGTATTGGCCCGTGGGAGAATCTAGAGAATAATCATAATTGAAATAAAGGGAAATAATGAATTGACTTCCATTCTATTCTATCATCATAATCTTAATCTTTCGATAGCACGAATAAAGATAATAGACAGAATGGATAAATAATGATGAATATCTTATAGATATGATTGAATATTGGAAAAGTGTCATCACCCATTTCAAAATTGTTATTGTATCAGGTATGGCATTCAATTTTTTCCCAAATCTAATAATTTCTACAACTTCATTTTGTGTGTTAGCATGAATATACAGTGGCCAGAAGTAGTGCGGTCGCAATGGTTCCCGTGCAGCTAATGCTTCAAGAAAAGCACGAGATTTTGGAAAATTAAACATCTGTAAATAAATAGTGATTGGTAATTATGGTTTTTGAAATGTCGAAAATTAAAAGTGAAATGAGTTGAAAATAAAACGTCTTACATCCGTAAGATAAACTTTTCCGCACTGTGATCATGCATATTATATGATGTACATATATCTTTTGAAATAAATTGTTTCACCAGAAAATTGAATCTGACATTTGTTTTGCAATACAAATAATTTTTGACACACTCTTCATATTATTGTTGTTGTTAATTCATAAAAAAGTGTAAAGAAATTTCAATGCATATGAACCACCTAGAATATTTGTGACCTCAAGAAATTTGTCAAAATAAAACTGCAACGTGCCTATACATTTTTTGTATGAACATGTTGCTCTTTTACTTTCACAAATCTCCTGACCTCACGAATATTATTACCGATTCATATTAGGGACCCTTATTTGGGGGTACTAACATTTCTGCTTTTGAATATTTTGTATACAGGGTGGCGCATATAGTAGGGGGTGGGAATTTTGAAAAACCCTTTGGGGGTAAAAAATAAAAAATTTCTATCGGCCCAAGGTGTGATTTTTTTGACCAGATTCCGAAATTCGGAATCAGCATGCAAAAATACCTTATTAGTTTTAATATTTTTCTCATCCACCTTTTTTCAAGAATTCAATACAAAACATTTTTTTTTTTTTTGAAAATTATTTGTATCGCAAAACCAATATCATATTCGTTTTTGTCGTGCCGAAAACGTCAATATATATTTTTGAGAGCTCTAAACTACGCATAAAACACCACTTTTGGAAGAAAAATGGAATTTTTCTCATGGGCATATCAACTTAAGAAACTTTACTCTATCGACCTTACACACTCGGTGTGTGTGTGGAAAAGTAAAATACCTTTAAGTCATTTATATTAAAAACATTTTATAAACGACTTGAAGGTGTTTTTTTTTTCAAAATCATTTCTCTTTTAATTGAGTTTATTGGATAGTAATTTAAAGTAGAAAAATTAAAGCTGTTTAAAATTATAAAAAATAGTATTTCACATACTAATTTTATAGTTAACTTACTAGCGAATACATGCAACAAGCATGAAATGAATATGAGTTTCTTTCACTTTCTATTAGATTTTCACAAAATTGAAAAATATTCGCTTCAATTTCTTTTGTTACAACCATTTCTCTAATTAAAAATGTCCCATATTCTGAACTATTATCGTCCATCTGTTGTTTCGGTACCGGCAAATGTCGAATAATAAATTTATAAAGATCCACTTTGACTTCATTTGAACGGTTTCGATTAGAATGAATCAATTCTATGCAAATATTTTGAATGTTTCGTTCTATCATTTTCGCATTTATGATTGTTTGTGGCAATAAGCTCAATGCATTGCTTACAATGGCTTCATTGTTGTTATGTGCACCACATCGAATTATATCATAAAGTTGATCACTATTATAATCCCTGAATTGCTGAAGTAGTTCCATTGCCGTGTCATTATACCTAGGGTTAATCACAAAGAAAAGAATGGAAATAATGGAAATTAATCAATATGTAATGGAACGTAATGGAAGTAATGGCCTACTGTCATTATACCCATGTTTGATATATGATTTAATCAATTCGGTCTGAGTGTCCAAAGTTGGCGTGATTTTTTTCGATTCCATAGTTTTGAGAACATTTTTTACTGAGTCTATTCCTTGTTTGGAATATCCCAGAATAAGAGCATTGTAAACTTGGTCATTCAACTGGATATCGAGAATTTCAATTTCCTTCAATAGTGCTTCAGCACTTTCCATCGTGTCTCCATTTTTGCACATAATGTACATCAATTCCCCAAATATATCAGCATCGATTGTACAATTGTATTTTTCGAAAAATGAGTGGTAATTGTCCATCTTTTTTAGGCCGGCTTGTCGGTACGCCTTCAACAAAAGTATTAAATGATCTTTTGTTGGTGTTCCAATAATTTTTAACAGTTCATTCCATACATCGTTTACTAGTTTAATGCCTGTAAATGAATAACACAAAATCAGATTTCAAACGCAATAAATTTTTTTGGAATAACTGTAAATAAATTAAAATATTTACGTTCTTCGGCACTTCGATCAATCAATTGACTGCATGACTTTAATATTTTGAATCCATTTTCAACATTTATGCCATAATTTTTGAACAAATTTGGACGAATTTGTATAATTTTATCAAATTGAAGGGAAACATTATTCAATGTTAATTTTTTTAGTATGTTTGGGATATGATTTTCATCAATCTTTGCATAGGTTTGAATTTGAGAGGAGAAACTAACATTTGGCAAAAAATAATTTGACCGTGTAGAAAATATTTTTAAATCTTTTGTATAATAATAATTAAAACTTTTAGGTGCAAAAGAACGACTTAGATTGCAAAAAATGACACCACTTAATTTTTTCGTAATGTACGACATTTTTCTCGAAAAAAAAATTACTAGTTAATAATTTTAAGATTTTAAGGTTAGTTTGTTTGACATCTGAAAATTCTAATTGTTCAAGCTGTGTTCAATGACAGGAATGTATAATGGGGTGTTTCTTGCATTTGTAAATAAAAAATGGGCATCGGAAAATTCTTAGAAGTAATATTCAACTACCCGTAGAAAAATAAAATCGATTGCACACAATATGTTTGTATATTGTCGTGATATTATCAATATTGTTATTATCATGTGCTCGGAACTCCCCAGCTAGCCTTATATTTTTTATATCATTGTGTTTGAACGCTATGCAACTATCATTTAATTTATACTCTAAGAATAATGTTTGCAACATGAAGAAATCCGTGAAAAGAATATTAATAAAATTTCCTTGATTTATTGTATAAAGAAATGAAATACCATTTTTCAATGAAGACTTTCTCAACGTTTCAATTTCAAAAACAAGCATTTGTGATCGCTATTGACCAGTGGCGACATAGTGATGATGACGGTTCACAGGTTAGTTGTGTTACATATTAAATTTCACAATCAAACCAAAATTATACTTAGTTTTTTTATCTTCATAATATCAAAATGAAATAGTTGTTATCTGTGCCGACGACGTTAAACTTTGATGTATTCACACAGTGTATTCAATTGTTGTAATTGTAACCATAGTTTTATTCTGAATTTATCACATTTTTATAATAACAGGATTTCGAGATGAATTTTGCCGTCAAATTTCCATTTGATTCTTTTTGGTTTTGAAATAACAGAACATTTGCAAAATGACGACTGCAAAATTCATCGCTCATGCCGAGTGTTATTCGGACTTCAGTTGTGTCGACGTTTTCATCGAACTAAAAGGCTATCATGACACAGTGTTACTGCGGATAGAAAAAAATAGTATTGAACCCACAAAAATTTGCGAACGGACTCTTTATTTATTTTGTGAGAGCAGAAAATGAAAAGGCAAAACAAACTAACGATTGGGAATTTTTCAACGATGGTATGATTAAATTGTTTTTTTTATTGTTTGTTCATTTTTCAGCTTGATATTCCCAAATTTTATAAAAAAATTCTCATTGTTTTTTTCTTAAGGGATGGCATTCATATAATACAAAGAAGGTGAAAGAAACATTCGAAGAATTCGATGGCGACAATCGATTGAAATCGCCGTAATAATTATTTTGGCAAACCATATTTAGTACATGTATCAACAAAACGCACAAAATGTAATAACTAACCTTACCAACCCGTTTGTACAATGAAAAACGTCTTGATGCGTTTTTAAGATTGAAAGTTTGGGAATACAACGAGGACAATGTTGATCCAGACTACGTTTTCGATGAATATAATATAACAAATGCAGTAAACTGCGCAATCTATTGTTGCAATTCAACTCGTGATAAATTGACAGATTGAACAAACGCTACCGCTTGCTGAGTGATGACGACAACATTGTAGAAGACACGAAAGAGTATTGGTCCCCAACTCAACTAGTCGAATAGATATTTAGTGAAAAATAATGATTTCAAAGTCAAATGTCAGTTTTGGTTTTTTTAAAAATGCATATTTTAAAAGGCATGGAAATTGTTTTCAAGCTTAAAATCGACGAAGTAAGTCATTGTTGAAGTCAATTTAGTTATCTTTGTAAGGTAACCATCAAATACCTATTCGACCATACTTCTACATTTTCTAATGTTCAATAAAAGTATCGGTCTTCGATCTATATCATATAGACTAGTTATATGGAACGTTCAAACGTCTGTATACTAAAGATACAATCAACTATTTTTTGGTTGAAAGGCAATCCAGCTTCAAAACACATTAATTTATCTCCATGTGTTTTATCTTTAGTACATTCTTCGATTTTTGGTAGGAATAATCGAAAAAAAAAATCAAAAATGTTGGGTAAAAATTGTTCTATTTCAATTCAAATCGCTTAAAACATCATCAGTACCTAAATTCTGGTCATAAATAATGATTTGTCTTCATTTGGGGCAATGTGATTGATTTATATTGGTACAAAATGTAATTTTCCAAGGGATCCATCATGGAATCGAGATAGCTCTTGCGCTACCTACTGGTAATATGAAAATCTAAAATTACACCTGACGTCTAATAATAATAGATGCAAAAAAGCTATTTGCCAAACAAATTCCGAAAAAATACCCATAAAACCACACTAATGTGAACTCCACCCCAACTTTACCGTTGAAAGACTTGGATTCCAAACAGCTAATCGAATAGAAATAAGATTGAAATGTTAAAATTAAAATGTATATTTAATAATCAAATAAAAAACCTCTGATATCAGAAATTTTGTGTTTCACATTTTGGTTTCGTCACTCGCTTTTCACCTCGTCAGAGGTTTTTTTATTTGATATCAGTAATTTTGTGAGAGTAATTTTCAAATACATGAATTTTAATAATTTTAAAATACAATTAAAATATTGGACTTTTAGGTTATTTTTTTGGCTCCAAATGTCATAAATTATGGCTCATAATGGGGACGGCAAATTTTCAGTGGTGTGTGGTATACACTTTTTTTATCTTTGACTTGGGGCATAAATCGATGAAATTCTAAAAAGAAACTATGGGGTCTTTTTCGAGAAAATATCCGTTATGTGTCCCGCCAGAAGGTCAAATTTTGATTTTTGACCGATTAGGCCACCTAAACTTGAAATTTGTAAGTCGCAATTGGCACCATTTGATAGTTTACTTTAAGACCTTTTCAACGAATATGCTATGCCCTGGATAAGTCAAGTATAGGTGCCATAGCGATTGTTTGAAAAAATGGCCATTTTTGACCATTTTTGCACTATCGAAGGCCATATCTTGAAAACAAGAATTTTCTGGGATATGAGCTATGCGGCAAATTATAGCTTAGACATGGGCCTAAAATCGGTGAAATTTTCAAAAAAATCCTTGAGCTTGTTTTCGAGGTAATGGACGTTATGTGTCCGGCCGAATGGTAACTTTTTCGTTTTTGGCCAATTTGTCCACCCCACATTGAAATTTGTGGACCGCAAATAACATCATTCGATAGCTCACTACAAGACCTTTCCAACGATATGCATATGTCCGGGGTGTGTCAGTGGATGTGCCTCGGTAACCGTGGGGACACAAGTCAAAAAGTGACTTTTGGAGGCCGGCTACAGCCAACATGGCGGCCAAATCGAAAAGTGCCGGAACAAAAAAGTCTTAGTTTTTTATGTACTTTAATCCCAGAATGTTTCAAAAAGATCAGAATCGAGTACGCAAAATCGCGGACAGACAGACATTTTGATTGGTCTGGGTTTCGCATATTTCGTGTATATATAGCGAGTTCGGCTTTTCAACACACTAATATGGTTTCGTAACTCGCGCGAACTACCGTCCCCTGTGATGTATTACTAGTAGCTGGTTAAAATTTGGTGAACCAGGTTTTGTCAGATAAAGTTTAGAAGAGCGAGTATATGTATTGATTGTCATATGTCTAATGGTATTTCAATGCAATATTTGAGTTTTTCGATTATAATTTCAGGGATAAATAGAGTGAAGGTCTCAAATGCAAGTATTTAATTACTATATACATTTTAACAGATGCGAGAAACACCCTATTGTATTGGAATACTTGGAATTTGAGATGAGGAACCACATGGTTTCTTTCTTTTCTCTAAGAGTTGTTCTAATTCGTTCAACCGCATTAATATTGAATGAAAGTGTTCGTGTGTTGGTTGTAAATGTATGTTTTATAAATACATGATAATATTGAATTTAAATGTGTAAGTACATGGGTACAATATTTTTCCTAGTGTGAGTAGCTGATAAGAGCAGTGTTTTGAAATGTTTGAACAGAGTGGGGAAAGAGTGAACAACATGTGGAGATGTTTGAATGAATGCTACAAAAAGTGAAAAAGTAAAAGAGATAAAAGTATCTCTTGCAAACAAAAAGTACAAGGGACTGAGTAGGTGAGTGAATAAGTGCGCTATTTGTATCCAAAGCAAAACCAAAAAGGAGAGTTATATAGTCGACAGCCGTGTGTGACCAAAACAATCTGATTCCCAAAAGTCACCAAATGTGCGAAGAGGACGGCATTCATGATAAACGGTAGCATTTGTAAGTGTGCACTCTCACTCGCATACGCATACATTAAATGTGGTGGAATTTCATTTTCATCTATGTATGAGCGCAGACCACGATAGCCAGAATGAAAATGTAACACATTTCTATTCATCATCATTATTGAATTGCAAATAAGCAGTGAACATTGTGTTTTGATTGCTTTTTTGTATTTTACCGATACTACAGCAATCGTAACACTACGGCGTAAAATTTCTCTACAACAAAAAGAACGTTTTATTTTTTTTTTAATCACCGAAATTTTGTTAAGCAAATGAACAAAACTGTTTGATTTTAGTTCGGGGACAACTATGAACATATCAAAATTGTGAAGGTAGAGTGAAGTGTTTATTAATGGTCATTGTAAACGTAGAAAATACCGCAAAGCAAGTCTAACGTGAATTAAATGAAACTAATTCGATTGTGTATAGTAGATTGTGTTTTAGAAATTTCATTTCATTTTATTAATCAAAAAAGAAAAAAGCTAGCTTCAACGTGTAAGTAGACCAATTTTTGGTGTTCGTAATAGTTTCTTGAAAATTTAAAAATGGAATTGATTTATTGTTTTCTGTTGTGAGTTAACCCTTTCAAAGCTTCAGTCAAAGAAAGATTTCAGTGAATATTGTTTTCGAATGGAAAATAAATGTCCACTACATAAGTTTTCATTTCGCTTCACTCTGACAATCGATTCCATTGAAATACGAAAAACACATACAAAAATTATGACGATTTTTTCGTTATGCGGCTTATATAAAAAGTTTTGCAACTAACATTATTCTTGTTCACATCTTATTATACATTAATATGAAATAAAACACGGATTGGGGAATATTTTCATAGCGATAAACGAAATGAGATCAATATAATTGCTTTGCTTTAGCAAAAAATTGTGCAATACGAACTCATCGTCAGTACAATTTTGCCCACTTTTTCATTTCAGTTAAATAGCTCAATCATGATTTTAAATCGATTTTTCCCTTGAAAACTGACTTTTACGTTGTGCGATTGTTGTTTGTACAATTTGTGTAATTGAAAATTCTAAAATAAAGCATAACAATGAATGACATTTTGTTTATTAGATGTATTATATCGTCATATCTATATAGTAGGTTAAGAAAATTAAGAATATCACATTATACCATTGTGATATGAGTGATTTTTTGAATATTTTGCACATAAAGATATTCCAATTGAAAAACAGCAAGCTATAAAATTTACCAGATAATTGCAGCAATGCTTATGTACGTTTCACAATTAAGAAATATATTCACGCGCGATCAATGAATAGCACACAAACAAACACACACTCACATGGATCGAAACACACCTACATCCTACTATTCATCTCCAGAAATAAAAACGTATTCATTACAACAAACACGAATGTGTAAAAGCTTGACAAGCGTGACCTAATTTTATAAAAAATCCTTCTGGCTAGAATGAGCATTAGAGACGTATAACGTGGTAATATCCATCTCTATCCTTGACTCTATTATCACTTAACACATACAATACAATAATACCCACTGCGGTAGCGGTATTAATGTCTGTAATAGCAATAGCAGCAACAAAGAATCGTGAATTCTTCTCATATTTACGCACATAATAACATCAAGTTATACTGAAACAAACAAGAAGTGTAGTAAACTCAAAAGCATCGACTAAACTATAATGAATATATACAAATACGCATAACGTAGTAGTAAATTATTGGCTGGATTTGCACACAAATTCAATATCAGCAATGACCGTGTTTGGTTGTGAGAAATAAAATATGAAGCTCATTATGAATGTATTTTAAATGGTGCTCACTAATAGGGTGCCGAGAATATATACATAAAAAGAAAGATATAACTTAGTGTGATATTTTCGCTTATGTGAGCGAGTTTACGATTTTCAACTACGGAAAGCGTGCACTGTTTCAGGCCGAAATCGATATAATCACCAATAGATATTCGCGTATTACTCGGCTTCAAATACGATTGCTTCACATATCAATTTGTATAACATTCTAACAATATACATACAAGCTGACATGTAATTAGTTTCCATAGTTTAAATGGACGAGGAACAATTTAATTCTTCGCAATTGTTTTATTTTTTAGTGGACATTTTTAAAGCTATCATTATAACAATGGTGATTTTTTAAAGTGTGGATACAATTGCAACTCGATTATGAGAATTTTTTTTAAAATCAACTGTTACAGTAATGTTCAATTTTTCTCTTGTTATTTTGAAAAATTAGCGGCTTAAAATGTGCCATCAATAAGGAAAATAAGAGTCTGCTAGATAGTGTTTCCGCTTAAAAAGCGAAGAATTTATTTGAACAAAACTCAAAAGTTATTCTGACAAACACTAGTTTGTTATGCCAAATAAACACAAGCGAATGGTATAGCAATTATTTCCCAAGGAACAATTGTTGGCGCAAAATCATCCATTCCAGGCATATGTTCACGGTCAAAGTTTGGGTCGGATTTGTGTGTAGTTTCAGTAATATTCAACGTCACAATGGAATGAAAAAAAAGAGAAAAAACAATAAAATTAATTAGATTAATATGAAAAAAATGAGATCACTCATAATTATCAATATGCAATAAACTCCACTTACCGAGTACAATTTATACCAAGAGGTAACTCGTACTTCGACAAGGCCAAAATTTATCAAGCCTTGCGGACTAACAAATAATTGTTATAAGCTAATTTCTAAATTATAATTTTATTGGATGATGTTGTTGTTGTTGAATGAGGGTTGCTACTACTGCGGCTGCAGATGTTCATTGTTGAAATTCTGATTCTGACCTCGATACAACGGCAATGGCTGATTGTTGTCAACATGGCGTGGTCTCCGTACATTTGGATGAATTGTCCGCTTGAACACCACAGTTGTGAGCGTTGGTTGTGCTCCGGCAGCTTCCTCGATTTCAACGTTTGCAACATTTGGTAGCCATGTTTTGTAGAAGCGTTGCTTCTTTGACACCAACCGACCTGCATTCGATCCATCTCGAAGAGTTGCAGCAATGACATCGCCCATATCTCGCATCTCGCGCCACATTCGTTCAATTGTTCGTCGCATTTGTAGTAATCGTTTGCTCACATTGGTTACAATGAGTGTTGGTAAGCCAACAACTGGATTTGGTACACAATCCACACATTTCTTGTATCGATCGCCTCGAGTTGCTTGTGGAAATCGTTTGAAACACAATGGACAATGTTGTGATGTCATGTACTCATCGACCATTCGAATGATGCAATTGCCACGTTTCATAATGGCTGCAAGCAGCTTCCGTGTGCCTGGACATCGCACATGTTTCTTGATCTTAATCGGCGAATTGGCTGGTGTTGATCCGCTGGCTCCCATGTAGAAAATTGATGGTTGATTGTGAAGCATTTTGCATGCCGTCTTGTCGATTGCACGAACCGATTCGATATGCTTGTCCAGTCCCAAGCGTGCATACTGTTTGGTCGAATATGTTTCAATGCCATCATTCATTACACGTAAACGATGTTCAATGTACAAACGTCATGATGGTCCTTTTGGCGATGGCATTTCACCAATCATAGCTGCAATTCGATTACGATCAGCTTGCTCTTCGAAAGTAAACAATCGTATGATTCATTCATTATTAAATGGCAAATATACCTCTTGTTTGGTATGCAAATCTTCATTACCTTGATTTCGTCATCTGTTTTCTCGACTAGTGGTACTTTCAGTTTTTTGTACATCAACGATACAGATACGCCATCGGAACAAATTTGAGAATCGAATTCCTTTTTATTGTGCACAATTTTGAGAATTTTCTCAACATCTAATTTTGCACTTGCTAGAATGCAGTACAATGCGTCGGTGCACATCGGCACAACGATAAAGTTTTTTATTTGCCAACCAACGCAATTCATCCAATAGTTCATCCAATCGTATATCACGTTCAACGTCGCCAATTGCGGTGTTTCGACAACGATAAGTATAATTGATGGCATTTTTTATATCTTCATCGTCGTAGTATGGCAATTCGAATTCGATCAAACCGTACAAATTGTTGAAATAATTGTACTTGATGATGTAGTCGTTGAGTTCGAATACTCTCATTTTAAAAAACTTCCGCAATGGAGACTCGCAATGCGTTGTCAGGTTTGTTTTGACGTTGTCGCGATACTGCTCCCTCAAATATTTAAAACCATTCCCGAATCCACCCTTTGTGGGCCAGTGCATCGTCGACAATTTTGCGGAAACCAGGTAACATAAGCGATATGTTAGCAATGTTATCGACAAGAACGGCCTTAAAACAGTTGAATGGGTTAGGATAAAAGTGAGCTCAAATTTTCATATAAAAAAATCTCAATCATGAAATCGGTAAGAATAAATGACCAACTAAACTGAGATGAAAATAAAAGAGCAACATGATTCATGTTGGTCTTTTATTTTCACTCTAAACATGTTGAACTTTTATTTTTACGCTGCGCACGGTGGTGTTTTATTTTCAAAGCAAATAAGTTCCCGTTTTATTGTAAGTCCTATCAAGTTGGTATTTTATTTACATTTTTATCATGTTGAATTTTTTATTCATTCCAGCGGTCTTCCGTGTTTTTCATACAATCCTCCCATATAGATGGTATAGAAAATCGCGAAAAATGAAAAAAATAATTCAATTTTTTTTCCTCAATTCTCAAATACTACTCAATTTTCTGTATCACCTGGTGAAATCAGAATGAAAAAAATCGCATCCCTTATCATCCCAATCACGATCTGTACTTTTTTCACTGTTTGAGTGCTCTATACCGAGTCTCCGAGAGTTTCATATAAACTTCCCATGTAACATCTATTGAATAGTGACCGAATGACAATCACGATTTCAATGATAAGGAATTAGAGTTTTTTCATTCTGATTTCATCAGATGATACAGAAAATTGAATAGAATTTGTAAATCGAAGGAAAAAAAATTATTTTTTTTTTTCATTTTTAGCGATTTTTTTAACGGGAGACCGCTGAAATGAATAAAAAATTCAACATGATAAAAATGTAAATAAAATAACAACTTTTTATTTTTTGAACAAGTTTCATTGTTGTATGCTATTATTATTATCGCATTATATTGTTTTCACTGTTGTGTGCAATATACTCAGTCTCCGAGAATTTCATATAAACTTCCCTTGTAATAGCCAAATAACGCCTATCGATTCAATCACGATTGGTATTCGCTTACTATTCAATAGGTATCACATGGCAAGTTTATATGAATGTCCGAGAAGATGTCTGACTGTCAGCAATTTTTGTATGGCGGTGTTACATTTCAATAAACTCTCAGGAGAAGACTCACATTCATTCTCGGACAATCATATGAAACTCTCGGAGAATCGGTATAGAGCACTCCAAGAGTGAAAAAAATCCAGATCGTGATTTAGATGATAAGGAATGCGATTTTTTTCATTCTGATTTCACCAGGTGCAGACAGGCCAAACCGTGGCCGAGATGTCAAATCACAAATGTCATTAGTTGTCCCTATCGAAATCTGCTGTCAAGCACGTTATATATTAATTATTGTATTACATTTTGTTGGAGACTTATTTATTTAGAAATATATGAAAAGAATGTGAATGTGAACAAAAAAGATAAAAAAAATTAATATCGTGACGAATTATGTAATAAAATAAATATTATAATTCAATTACTCAGCGGCTAGTGTGATTTCATACGTCTATACCGGTGCAAAGCGGGACCAATATATACAAACACACAAAGGTCGACTCACTTTGGATAACATTTCTATTTTTTACACCTAATGACGGCTCATCATTTTTGTTTTTATTTTATTAATAAAACTAAATTAAAATTGAAATTAAATTAAAAAATGTAAGTTTTTTACGAATGCGATTGCGTGGTTTTATTATTCTGCTGTGCAGCAGCAGCAGGAATATATTGAGGTTAGGTGTCCTCCTGAGTCAATTTTATTGTATTATTTTTTTGTAGTTCTTTTATTTAATGCACGTTTGAAAAATTAACAAAAACCAAATTAGGAAAATTGATGTATTGTTTCATTTTATTTAAAATATTTTCATTTATAAGTTTCATCGTTGTTTCAAATTTTCTGATATTTGTTTCAAATGTGGAACAAAAGAGTATCATATAGCGAACAGAAAATTTGAAACAACGATGAAACTTATAAATGAAAATATTTTTAATAAAATAAAACAATAAATCAATTTTCCTCATTTGTTTTTTGTTAATTTTTCAAACGTGCATTAAATAAACGAACAACAAAAAAATAATACAATAAAATTGAATCAGGAGGACACCTAACCTCCATATGTTCCTGCTGCTGCTGAACAGCAGAGCAATGAAACCACGCAATCGCATTCGTAAAAAAACTTACATTTTTTAATTTTAATTTAGTTTTATTAATAAAATAAAAACAAAAATAATGAGCCATCATTAGGTGTAAAAAATAGAAATGTTATCTAAAACGGGTCGACCTTTATGTGTTTGTATATATTGGTACCGCTTTGCAGCGGTATACGCGTATTCAAGCATACTTTCCGCTGAGTAATTGAAATATAATATTTATTTTTTCACATAATTCGTCACGACATTAATTTTTTATCTTTTTTATTCACATTTCACATTGTTTTTTTTATATTTATATAATAAATAAATCCCGTACAAAATTCAATACAATAACTGTCAAGTGTAGTTTTGTTAATAGGGATTGATAGTTTCTCGCGTGGTCCACCTGTCAAATCGCTGTCGTCGACTTGTTCGACGGATTTGTACTGGGTGACCAGGTGATACAGAAAATTGAAACTTTCTGTGATTAAAGTACATAAAAAACTAAGACTTTTTTGTTCCGGGACTTTTCGATTTGACCGCCATGTTGCCTCCAGAAAAATTTCATCCCATTGGAATTCTTAAAATTGATTAAAACTATGCAAAAAATCTATTTCAACGTTATATAGTAATGTACTAAAAACCTTACAAATTTGTTTGCTGTTAGTTTCTTTTATGTTCCGCTAATTTGGTTTCAGTGTCGACAATGTGTAAATCGACTTGTTCATAAAATTCCCCGTTTTAAAAACGAGCGACAATGACGTATGGCTCAAAGCTGAAAGAAAATTGATGTCTCCAAACATTGGAATTTTGAATACTAAGTATTACACAAAATAAATTTTCTTGAACAAATTCGTTCATATTAATACAAAAAAATTGATCGGTTCTTTCGAAAACATACATTCTAAACTTTTCTTAAGAGACAATACGGAAGTAGCCAAATAAAATGGAGATTCAAATGTATAATAATTTTATTAATATTATTCGAACGGTCAACATTTTTATTGGAAACAGAATTTTCACTACGACTGTTTACGATTTTGGAACATTTGTAAGCAATATATACTTTTGGAAGTCAGTTGTTGTTATTGTTTCAGTGTGCGCATTTTGAGTAGGGCGATCGCAGCAATGCCAATGTTAATAGCCGCTTAATATATTCACTAAATCGTACCGTTTGTACATATTGAAATTTTAATTTCGTGAGAATCAAAATGATCTGACCTTCAAGATTTTTGTCATATATTTACATTTTGATGGTTGCTTATTTCCATAGGTTTCATAAGTTTAATGAAATTGGTGTTCTATTGTCATGGACTGGACTTTGTTTATAGTTTCTTGTAATCGTCGCAAAAAAGGTGAACAAAAAGATTCAATTAATGATAGATTAATAAATTTCGAAAATAAAGAACGAACGATTGATTCGAACAATTGTAAATGATAAACAAAGTATAAAACTCGGAATCGATCGAGAATCCAAGTGTGCTTTTATTCACGATCAGGCGGTATTAAATATACATATTGACGTAGATTTGTTTCACATAGTGCACACACTCACATATGCATTATACATTTATACAACAGGCTTGATCTGTATCTAAATGTAACAGATTCAAATTCGATATTTACCTCTCTATTGCGCTTGGTCGTTACACCTGCTTCGAAGATTACGGTTTCCTTTTCAGTTCCATAATATTTCTTCTCTGACACACTTCACAACTACAATCATACAGCATAAGTCTAATATAGTTCACAACATTGCATGAGTGTTGTCTTTTTATTTTCATTCAGCAAGCTTTCTTCCAGTCTGGTTTTACTTGTTATGGTATGCTTTCAAGTGTTCGCATTTTGAACATGACAACAAGAATGCTGTTAGTGACCTAAAACAAATTCGAGCAGAATACAAGCGGACAGAGAAAAAAAACACGTGAAAAATGCAACAGTTCAACAATGAAAGGCCGCTTGAAATGTAGAGGCACATGCAAAGTAATTGATTCGCCAATCACTTTTGAAGATCACTTCTATTTCTTTCATACTTCCTGATTTCGTATTATGCTGTAACGTAAAAAATCTTTCGCCGTTCTTATGAGGTTGTGTTACGAAAAAAGAGACTGAGAAAGAAATGGAGAGATAATCCAAAAAAATTGTAAAAATGGCAACATTTGTAAAATAAAGTTCCCAAAATTGCTAATTTTCAAAAAAAAAAAAAAATATTTTTCTTAAATCTGAGCAAAATATATAGAAATATATGACATTGAATAAAAGTATACTGGTGAAAAAAAATGAGTGAGTTTACCTTTTTACTTTTCCACACACACCTAGTGTGAAGGAAAAAGTTTTGTAATGGGGCTCAAAAATAAAAAATTTCAAAATGGTCGGAAATGACCTTCTCTGGGTTGGGGATGAAAAATTAATTGATTTGCCGTTTTTGTTCACCCTCTTTTCTCTTGATAGTTATTTTTAAATCTGATTTTATAGAATGGTTTGGAATATTTAGGAATAGATACCATTAGATTTTGGACCAAATTGGTCTACTCCATCTGGGTCTTATAGTGCATAAAAATTTTAGTTTTGAAAAGTTTGTATGAAAGATGTCAAAATTTTTTAATTTTATAGTCAAATTTGGATTCCTCGACCCAAAATTAGGGGTTAACACGGGTATTTAAACAATTTTCACATTATTTTTGATCTTTTGACCAATAAACATGATAATTTTGGTCAGACATCATCGTTCATCATAGTTAAACAGCATTTGACACGTTCATTGAGGTACGCCATCATGGTCTAACACCAATTAACACGGTTATTGAGGTAGGCCATCATGACCTAACACCATTATACACGGTTATTGAGGTCGGACATCATGGTCCATCATGGTCCAACACCATTTAACATCATGATGTATACGGCGGAAAAGTTCATCATACAGTGTAAGACTTTTTATTTCTGCCGATTTTGTTTGGATTTTGAAATTCACACATAGGCGAAATATGATATCAACAAAAATAACCGGCTTATTTCTGTACTTTCAATTTCTGTATACTACATGCAAAAATACATACAAACTAAACAAATAAAAATTTAAAAGATTTACGCCTATGTTGGAAAAAAGAAAGTAATAAAAAATGTGTTTTGTTACATTATTTTGTTGGAGTGTTGAAATGCATACGAACCACATCTTCTTTTATTTTATCACCTAAATAAATATTGTCTGGTTTGTTCCCCTGTGCATAGAAATATGAAAAGCCCAAATTTTGTAATATTATTATTATCAATCACATATAATGTTTTCATAAAAAATTTAATAAAATAGAAAAAATCAATGCATTTTACCACCATTTTCTGATTGCCCGGCGATTATTAAAATAAATATTTTTATTTAAAAAAATCGCGTAAATACGTATACACGTATACTTATACGTAATTTCTTAAATTATTTTAGAATATCCGTCGCATAAAAAAATTCTATGCATTTTTAATTAACAATATTTCGCTTTCAATACGAATAAAAAAGTCATAATAATCGGTAAATTTACCATACACTCTAGTAGTACAAACAAGATTGAAAACAAAAATCAAAATGAAATAACTAAACTATCGATACGAAAACAGACAGAAATTGAAGTAATTATTGCAGGGGTCACTGGAATACCCGCATTTGCTACATAATTAACTCAGATCCGACAACAAATGCAGATTTGTATCTGGAGGGTGGCCCAAAAAATAAGTATTTAATTTTCAACACCATTATTTTGTTCAATGGCGTTACAAATCCATTTGGTAAATTCCTCGACCTGCCTTTTTGGTAACATTTGGAAGTCTTTCAATGTCTAAAAATATATATTAAAAATACGATACTTTTCGTACAAAAATCGAAAAAAATCATTAAAAATATGGTTTTTGTATGGGAGCCATGCCTCAATGGTGTCGTAATGATATGAAACTTTGCAGAAACCATTTGATTTATAAAAAATAACATTATGTTATTTATTAAAAGTTTGCAGAAATTCCAAAAAAAGAAGGAATACCTCTCATACAAAATTTTCGTTTTTGGGCCAAAAATCGGATTGAAATATCTTCAAACTTGTTGAAAAAATAAGATTCACAAGTTTTCACATATTTTTTTTGGGCCACCCTAAGATACAACTTGATTAAAATTACCT